GGGGGGGGGGGGGGGGGGGGAGGGTCGTTGAGTCCATTAAGAATAATGATAATGCGAGGTTCTATTTAAATAAAGAATAAGGTTATTTGAGAAGTTGTTGGAAAAATTGGCTGTGAGAAGTTACAGAGAAGAGGAGTAAGGATAAAAGCAAAGCAAGGTTCCGGTCATAGCTGTCGAGCGAACTTCAACCCAAGGTAAGGGTGGAGTTCTGACCTTATAATGGGGCGTATGATCAATATTGTATAGGAGTTGTTCGTGGGTATATTTGTTGTGCGTTGATTGTTCTGGGCTTGTTCTTGAAAGTTACTCGTTTTTATGTTGTGGTCGTTTAAGAATCCTATGCATGATCGTCTTGTACAATAGATAAATTGGTTAATAGGAGATATAATTGCCCCGTTGCCATGTTGTTTCCATGCGATTGGTCGAAAATTAATGGTCGAAGAGAACATTGTAAGGTTGGGTTAATGTTCATCACAGACTGAACGAAATTTGTTCAAAAGCGTGAAGAGGCACCATGCCGAGGAGCACGGGTATTTACGTCGAGCGACATAAGACTGCGAGATGTGTCGAGGAGCACAAGTGTTAGGTGTCGAGCGGCACAAGGCTGCAAGGTGCGCCGAGGGGAACATGTAGTTGTGTCGAGCGACACAAGGTTGTACGATGTGCCGAGTTGTATGGAGGTGTTTTGGTCGGTACATATGCATGAAGGGAAGGTACCGAGCAGCATGGCCACTGTGTCGAGGGGCACACGTCATTGTTAACCTGTAATGTTCCTGTGCAGAGCAATTAGTTATTTATTTTAGTTTAAGAATCTCAGCATAATAATTAGAAATCTTAAGGTATTTTGTCCCATTACGATTAATGAATTCTAGCAAATATAAGTTTGTAGTAAGAGAGATATTATAATTAATAAGTGACTAGTAATATATAGTCAAATTACCCGAATAATTACACAGGTCGTCATAGTATATTTTGGTCAATACGGTGTATTGTATACTTTGTTATAATTTGAGAAATGGCAGGTGATGATGAATTTTATTGAGATGCCTCTAATTATTGGTAGATATTAAGTTGTGGGTTTATGGCCAATGTTAAAGTGTGTTGAGGTGTTGTTGAATTATTGTTGTTGTTGTACTACATTCATATTGTTGGCGCATACATAGCATATCAAGTTGGGAGCTCATGCTTGGTAAGTTGGCATGGATTTGCAAATATAAATTTGAAGGTTTATGCCTTGTTGATGCCTCTATTTATTGGCAGATTATTAAGTTAGGAGTTTTCCTCCATTGGTACCACATGCATGTGCATAAAAACAAGTCGCATTTCATGTTGCATCCTGAGTTGTTGTGTGGATGAATTGATTTTATTAAATGTTGATTAAAATTCTGCAAAGTGGTGATTTTGTATGAACTGATTCTAATATATTATTTATCATACATCCTTTTATAATGTTCGATATTTCACCCCTTCTGTTTGAATGTTTCCCTCTGTTGGTAACGTGTAGGTAATCAAGAAGGATAGTTGTTACCTTCAGTAGTTTGAGTCGGTGTCGTTGCTCTGATATGTAACACTCGGGGGGGTGAATGCTTATTGCTTTGTTGTTGATTTTACTTCCGTTGCTGAATTTTAAGTTGTTTTTGTTAAGTACTTGTTGATTTGAAGATGTTTTCAGTTGGACAAAGATGTTATGTCATTTGAGATGAAAATTGTGATTCCGCTGCTTAATTATGAAAGTTGTTTTATTTTTAAAGACTAAACAGGTTGTTATCGATTCATCCCAATTTTATGTGTTATGTATCTGAACTATAGGTGATTGAATGTCGTTGTTTCCAAGTTGAAAGTGTAACATTCATTTTTTTGTTGGAAATTTTGTAACTCTGATTTTATATAATTCGTTGGATAGAAATGGGGTGTTACATTAGTGGTATCAGAGCAGGTAAGTCCGTCCGACCAAGTTGTTGAGTCAGTAGAGTAGTGTGACAATTGAATAATGTTGATGTGTTGTTTCTTAGTATGTGTGTGCGACACACTGTCGGTACTTGTTTGCTTTTCCAATCGATTGTATGCAGGAGTTGGTTTAAAGATAAGTGGGGGAGAAGATTTTCTTCTCTGATATCTTTTGGTTGTAAGATGTTAGTTCAGTATGCTGTTGATGGCGACAATGCAAATATTGTTGAAGTTTTGTTGTTTCCCGAATCCGAAAGTGACATGGATTCAAGATTTTGTTTGTTAATCAAGTTGGAGCGTCTTGAGGGAGGATGATCAGACATTGTTGATGTTTACTTCTCAAAGGATGAGGAGCAATGTAACGGTTGTTGATATACGAGTAGAGTGTAAATCCCTGATGTTTTTGTAGGTGATTGTTAAGTAACAAGGATAATTTTTAGAAGATGGAATTTATAAAGTTGTGATGTTTCAGCGCTGCTGTTGGACTGTGAAATTGTCAGTTTGGGTATCCCTTGTATAAGATGTCGATGTTTGAGCGGTGATAGAGTGACAAATTGTTGTAGATCTTGTCGTGGGATCCTTGTGAGTGATTGTAAAAGTTGTTGAAGTTGTTGGAATATTTTGAATTGCGAGTCAGAGTCGGAAATGCGAGGAAATGAGTACGATTTCAAGAATGTTAAGTGTTGGTACTGGTACAAAGAAATTTTGTTCTGATGTTATTGTAAGGTGTGCAATAGTATGTCGCTGCATGACATCGGTGTTCGCATTTTCGATAACTTTGGAAATTCACATCTTGTGTTATGAGTATCGGGTTGATGTTCCGTTTGAACATATGAGGAGGTAAAAATATATTCTATCCTATGAAATTATTTTCAAATATGGTAGATTCATTCCTATATGGAGGGAATCTGAAGTCGGTTACAGAACTAGAGGCTTTTTGGGCATAAATGGTTTATTTCAGTTGTTCGAGACGAGGTCAAGCGTAATATATTGTTGGCGAACAAGTTGAGAAATAAGATGTTCAACATTAAAAAGGGATTGAAATTATTGGAGAAGTGCATAGAGATGCAGCTTATGATGATTAACAATGATTATAATGAAGATGTCCTATCACCAAAACGGTGTGGAACAACATTGTTGAGATTTCAAATTAGAATGAGACGACATGTAATGTAATAGTATAGTAGTAATTCTTGAGTTGGAGAATACTTAACCTTCGTGTGAGGCTAAGTGAGTGTAATGTGGACCGTGTAATATGTTAAGCGTTGGTGTCTCATCGACAAGATCGAATGAGAGGGAAATTGTAGAAGTATTTGTAAACCTCATTGGAAATTATTGGATTATGGTGCTTTAGGTGACTTGAGTACAAGTTCTAAAGGAACACAATTATAGTTTGGTAACGATTATTTATACTCCATTATGATTGTCGGCTATCTATTGACTAATTGAGGAACTGATCACCCTTAATCTCTTGTTGATAGTAGACGAGATCGTGTTGGATGGTATAGACTTGTCTTGCTATCTTAACAATGTGTAAAGTGATTGATGTTATATCGTGAGGATAGTCGCTCACCAGTTTGTGTGAATTAATAGAGGAGTGGCGAGGAAAGAGTTGAGACATATTGAATAATTCAGAGTAGCGGGTTTATATGAGAGTTAATTGTCATACCCCAAATTTTCCCGCCCTTTTATTTCTACAGTCAAAAATATTTTAAATATTGTTTTTATAATATTATTTGATTTTTATAGATGTTCAATCTCAAGTCCAGTCAAAAGTATATTAAACTTTGTTTTTATAATATTATTTGATTTTTATAAATATTTGCTTCCAAACCTATTTAAAAATATAATGATTCATTTCAAATTATTTGTATTTTTAAAATAGCAAATATCTGCACATCTTTCATATTCTTTCAAATTGAGTTTATTTATAAATGAGTAACACAACACAATTGGTAAAGAATAAAGCTTGCAAGTATAAGATCGTATGTTCGAATATCTTGTGGAGCACTTGTGACGTTCTTTTTATTTCTTTTTGTTAATAATTTTCTTTCCTTTTTGGAAATCGAGCTTGGACTTTTCATTCACTTTGGATAACTTACTTGTTAATTTTGTTTAACTTAATTCCCACTCTATAAATAGGACTCCTCATTGTCTAAATTTTTCATCCATAAATACTCACAATTTTTCACAGATCCACAATTCACAATTTCCACAATATCCACAAAAATTTGCTTTTTCTTTTTCTTATAATTCTTGTTCTTAGCTTATTCAAGGGTTGTTGTCTATATCAGACAACAACTATTCTTGGCCAAGGATTTCTATATGAGGCCCCGTCCCTATTTTCTCTAGTTTATCTTGTTTTAATGTTAAGTTATTTACTATTTAAGCCATATGATGACAATAATCGGATGGTTGGATTAGATCTATTGGTTCGTACAATATTTCTTATGCATATTTCATGTTTCTTTCGTCTTTGCTTCTTATCAATTCCATCATCTAACAAATATTTGCCAACTTCTTTTTAATAAAGAAATTATTTATTAATTTATTTTTTATATACACATATCTAATATTCTTGTTTCAATAATTTATGTTATTAATTTATGCTAATTTTCTTTACTCCTATTTTCATTAATTTTTTCTACAGTAACATTACTTATTTTCACTCACATAACCTGCAATTTTTTCTTCAAAAACACTCACAGTCACACAAAATTTAAGAGACAAAGATTCTACAGTGTGTTCTCTTTGATATTCCTATTGTTCTCTAATTTAAACAATATAACACCATGACCAAACTCATGTTCTAACTTGCGACTTTAATCATGTTCTAACAATTTAGCCATATTCTAACATGCAACAGAAAAGTAACAACATAACAAAATAGAACACAACTTCAAAAATCACAACACTTCCATACAATTTAAGTTTTATTTTTTCAGAAGAAGGGAATAAGAAAGAGAGACAAATTGACGTCAACATAAACGAACAATCCAGCTCCGACGTGAAGCCACCGCCACGCAGACAAACTCCCGTCGACACAATTTCACATGTCCAAACAGACAATCTCTACACTAAACTTCACCAACGATATCGATACAATTTTGAATTTTTTTTGCCAGAAAAAGACGAGCAAGCTTCGAATCCGACGGTGGCCGTCCCTTCGGAACACACTCTCGTCGGTGACTTCATCACCACTTTTAACACAACTTTGGCCGCACAACAACACAATAATTCAACAACCTCCAATCGACTGGTCATCAGCCAACAACGAAAACAACCTCAATGCAATCACGTCTAGATCCACTCGCCATCATCTTCTGACCAACGCTTCACGATCGGACCACTCCTTTACAATTTGGGTCTGTCTCAAAGTTATAACTTTTGATCTATTTGTTTTTTATGGTGTTGAGTTTTAAAAGAAGAAGAAGAAGAAAGTTTTAGGTTTCTTAAGAAAAAACGTAGATAGAGAGGAAGTTTTATTTGATGGTTTGTTTTGAATTTCTTTTGTTAACATATGGATTTGTTTTAATCTTTGTTTTTTTTATATCATACACGTGTCACTTTCTCACGGGACCTTGATTTGAATAAACGATATATACTAAAACTCCTTGTAACAAATGAGACACACCCCTCCTACGTTTCACACTCGCTCTCTGTTTTTGTTATATAATAAGTTATTATTATTTTTAGTTATTCATTTTTGTTAGTCTAAATTAAGTTTAGTAAGATGGGCCTAATATCCTATGAGTTTTGGTTTAATTTGATCCACCTGTCTAGTTTATTTAGACTAATTTTTCTTAGTTAATTTGGATAATCTATCTTATATAATTATTCAATCTAATTTAGTTCATCTACTTTATTTTCTTTAGATTGTTTCATTTAGCTTTAGTAAGAGGATAAAAATACAAAATCTTTAATTTGTTCAATTAAAATTCCTAAAAAAATAAATTTGCAAATAATATAAAAATATATCATTAGATTTAGATTTGCTCTAAATGATTAATTTAGTCATATAACCATTAGATTAATTAGGTTTAATTAGTACCTTATATTTTTGATAATTTATAATTATAAACATCCAAAACTAAAATATTCCTTTCGCGTCCTTCATGACAAGCAACACGCGACCAATATCTGGCCACTTGATGAAGAGACTTTGTCAGACTCCCCTCACTCTGTATCTTATCATACCCTTTAATCAAATCAAAATATTAAAACAACAAACCAACAATCAAACCTTTTTTTACTAACTTTAACAAAAACTCCAAGATATTTTCATAAAAAAGGATTAAGGAGAATTTCTTTCAAAATTAACTGCGAACTACGTCTACGATTACTCTTTTACAAAACCCATACAAGATCCAAGGATAAATTCAAAACAAATTCTGTGCAATCCTTTAAAAAAACACCAACCAAACCGCGAACTACGAAATGAGACTCTGATTCCTCCTAATAGGATACGTAGGCATACGATCAAAATCGTGGCGATTCCCCCTAACTAAAATTCAAACCCTTTTTCCTCAATAATAATTAAAAACCCTATTTCCTAAGAACGCGCTTCTAAACTTAGTATCCTTGTGAACAAAGTAGATAAGGGGTGCCTAACACCTTCCCCTTATCTAGAACCGAGTCCAAATCTAGAATCTCTAACTTTTAGGGTTATTCCTTTATACTCCCTTCCTTTAGGATAAAAATTAAGGGTGGCGACTCTGATTTAAAAACCAGTTGCAACACTAATGTCGCAAAGTGAAAGATTGAGAATATCAAGTGAATAACGATTTTATGGTGGATGTTAAAGAAAGTCTGAAACTAGGTTAAAACTTGTAAACCATATATTTGACAAAAAATTTAATGAGGATGGTGACGTAAGATGGATGATCAGAGTTGTGCAGCTGAAGCGTGATGTGGTGCAATTGCTATGCTTGTACGACTCGTTAGAAGTGAAAGACTAAATATCAGAAGCCTATGGGAATGATATGTCTTGATCTACATGTTTGATTTGGTGGGTTGTTGATATAGGGATGATGTGCCAGGGTACTGTGTTTTCTCGTAAATATTTGCTGATTTTATAAGGATATTAATGTGGTTGTTGGTTGATGGTGAGTTGTGTGTATATTTGTTGAGTTATACTATTGAGTTGACGTTATAATGATTTTGTTCCCGTGATGTTTGTTGTTGGTTACCATAAATGATGAATAATACTCCATAGTATGACGAAGTTGATTATGTTGGCTATGTCGATGTCACTATAATGGTGATACGACGATATTAATAGAGTTGTTGATATTGTTAAGATGATAATGTTATGTTGTATATCCAAGTATAAGTGTGTTAGGTTGTTACTACTTTAAATGTTAATATGTCAAAATATTGTTGAAGTGGTTGATAAGTTATTAAGGATTATGTCGTAAAGGTGTTGAATGATTAGCATGTGTGTATTTGATTTAAATTGTGTTGAGTTATTGTTATGTTGAGAAAGTAGTGGTCAAAAAAGTGTTTCCAAACGCGACTTGAGGATTAGAGGGTGAGATGTGAAATTCGCGTTAAGAGTGGTAGTATCGAGTAGATTTTCGAGGACGAAAATATTCTAAGTGGGTGAGAGTTGTAACGCCTGTTAATTTAATTAATTACTTAATTAATTATTTTTGAATTATTCGTTGAGGTTGTGAGATGTTGTGAATTGTTGGCATAAGTTTCTAGATTATTACTAGTTAATTAATTAGTTGATTAATAGTAGTAATAATATTAGAATTAGTAGAATAATAAAATAATTGTGTTGGGCCTATTTTAATGGTTAGATGTAGAGTTATGATGGGTGTGTCATTGATCCCATTAAGAATAATGATAATGTGATGTCTATTTAAATAAAGAATAGGGTTATTTGAGAAGTTGTTGGAAAAATTGGCCATGAGAAGTTGCAGAGAAGAGGAATAAGGAGAAGAGAAGAGCAAGATTCTGGTCGGAGCTATCGAGCGACCTTCAATCCAAGGTAAGGGTGGGGTTCTGACCTTATAATGGGGCGTATGATGAATATTGTATAGGGGTTGGTCGTGGGTATAATTATTGTGCATTGATTGTTCTGGGCCTCTTCTTGAAAGTTTCCCATTTTTATGTTGTGGTCGTCTAGGAATCCTATGCATGACAATTTTGTACAATAGATAAATCTATTAATAAGAGATATAGTTGCCCTGTTGCTATGTTGTTTCCGTGCAGTTAGTAAGAAATTAATGTTCGAAGATAATACTTTAAGGCTGGGTTAATGTTCGTCACAGACTGGACGAAATCTCTGCAAAAACGTGAAGACGCACTGTGCCGAGGAGCACAGGTATTTACGTCGAGCGACATAAGGCTGCGAGATGTTCCGAGGAGCACATGTGTTAGGTGTCGAGCGACACAAGGCTGTAAGGTGCTCCAAGGGGAACATGTAGTTGTGTCGAGTGACACAAGGTTGCACGATGTGCCGAGTTGTATGGGGGTGTTTCGGCTGGTACATAGGCATGAAGGGAAGGTACCGAGCAGCATGGCCACTGTGTCGAGGGGCACACGTCGTTATTAACCCGTAACGCTCCTGTGCAGAGAAATTAGTTATTTATTTTAGTTTAAGAATCTCAGTATAATAATTAGAAATCTTAAGGTATTCTCTCCTTATACGATTAATGAATTCTAGCAAATATAAGTTAGTAGTAAGAGAGATAATATAATTAATAAGTGACTAGCAATATATAGTCGAATTACCCGAATAATTACGTAGGTCATCATAGTATATTTTGGTTAATACGGTGTATTATATACTTTGTTATAATTTGAGAATTGGCAGGTGATGATGAATTTTGTTGAGATGCCTCTAATTATTGGTAGATATTAAGTTGTAGGCTTATGGCCAATTTTGAAGTGTGTTGAGATGTTGTTGAGTTGTTATTGTTGTACTATATTCATATTGTTGTCGCATACATAGCATATCATGTTGGGAGCTCATGCTCGGTAAGTTGACATGGATTAGCAAATATAAAGTTGAAGGATTATGCCTTATTGATGCCTCTATTTATTGGAAGATCATTAATTTGGGAGTTTTGCTCCATTGGTACCATATGCATGTGCATAAAAACAAGTCGCATTTCATGTTGCATCCTGAGTTGTTGTATGGATGAATTGATTTTGTTAAATGTTGATTAAAAAGCTGCGAATTAGTGATTTTGTATGAACTGATTCTAATATATTATTTATCATACATCCTTTTATAATATTCGATATCTCATCCCTTCTGTTTGAATGTTTCCCTCTGTTGGTAACGTGCAGGTAATCAAGAATGATAGTTGTTACCTTTAGTAGTTCGAGTCAGTGTCGTTGCTCTGATACGTAACACTCAAGGGGATGAACGCTTATTGCTTTGTTGTTGATTTTACTTTCGTTGCTGAATTTTAAGTTGTTTTCGTTAAGTACTTGTTGATTTGAAGTTGTTTTCAGTTGGACAAAGATGTTATGTCATTTGAGTTGAAAATTGTGATTCCGCTACTTAATTATGAAAGTTGTTATATTTTTAAATACTAAACACGTTGTTATCGATTCATCCGAATTTTATGTGTTATGTATCTGAACATTAGGTGATTGAATGTCGTTGTTTGCAAGTTGAAAGTGTAGCATTCCGTTTGTTTGTTGGAAATTTTGTACTTCTGATTTTATATAATTCGTTGGGTAGAAATGAGGTGTTACAGGGGCCTCCCTGCCCTCCAGCTCCGAGGAGGCCAAACCACTTCCAAGGATCGACACCATCGACCTCGACAACTGCTTCTCCAAGGAGGATCACACAGAACAAAGGAGGAAATGGAAAGAGCCCATGGTCGAAGGTGGAGGTTCATCCTTAGCTGCAATTAGCGAGGAACTCTCAGATTGCGTACGACCCATTATAGACATAGACTTCAAGATCATCCCCCTCGGGAACGAACCCGCCAAGGGAGTAAAGATTAGAGCTGACCTCCTCGATTTGGCGAAGAGGCAACTTAAAGATTGCTTAAGGGAGAATGCTGATATGTTCGCATGGAGCGCATATGAGATGCCCATATTGGACCCAGAGATCGCATGCCATCACCTGAACATAGACCCTGCCCTTAAGGCAGTCACCCAACACAGAAGAAAGCAGTCCCCCGAAAAAACGGAGGTTTCCGAACTAGCTATAAAAGACCTCCTAGAGGCACACTTTATTTATGAAGCCCAGTACACAACCTGACTCTCAAATGTAGTTCTTGTAAAGAAATCTAATGGAAAATGGCGCATGTGCATTGATTATACCAACCTCAATCAGACTTTCCTGAACGATGCTTATCCCTTCCCCAATATTGACAAACTGGTCGATAACTCGGTCGGTTTCAAATTATTATCTTTTATGGATGCATATTATGGATTCAACCAGATTACAATG